CTATTTTTTTTTTGTTGTACCGATAGACACAGGTAGGATGATCAATGATCTAGGAAGAAGAAAAAGAATAAAAAAAAACAAGTCAAGGTAGAAATAGTTTCCAATTGCAGACAAATACAACCATCACCATGATGATGATGACAATTGATGATTGAATATTTAAAGAGAGAGAGAGAGAGAGAGAGAAAGAAAAACACATACAGGTAGGTAGGTACCAGTCGGTAACAATTCGCCATGACCTCCATTAATATGGTTTTTTTTTAATTTTTACATTCATTCAATGCATCAAAAAACAAAATTCTCGCCATCATTATCAAAAGATTTTCTTTCTTTTTTTTTAGTTCCTCATTTAAAGAGAAAATATAAACCAGAAATTTAAAAAAAAAAATCGAAACCCACCTATACACACAATCTCTCTCTCTCTCTCTCTCTCTCTGTCCGTTGTTGTCATAATAATAAAATTCTGACAGGTGAATTTAGGCCTGTCGCTGTCGTTGTTGTTGTTATATTAATTTACCTGATGAGAATGAATGTTAAGTTTTCATTTCCTGATTCCTGGTGGTGGTGGTGATTTCTTTTTCATTACCCTAAACAATAATAATGATGATGATGATGATGCATATATATACATAACGGTGATTCATTCACATTCACATAGGATAAAAAGCAAAAAGAGAGAAAATGATGATGATGATGATGATGATTAAATGAAATGAAATGAAATGGTGAAAATAAATGGTATCCGAGAGTTTTTAAAAAAAACTGGTTATCAATACATTTTTTTTCATCTGGTTGTGGCGAGAGTTTTTTTTTCTCGCTGTTGTTGTTGTTACTTTAAACCTTATCATTAATTCACATTTGGGAACAACAACAACAACAACAACAACAACAATATCATATCCTGATTGATGGTAACAGTCGGTTCTAGGCGCCAACATATTATTTTTTTTTTTTTTTTTTTTTGTTCATTTCATTCGTTTCACTTCCTATGTTTTTTTTTGAATTCGTTTTTTTGTTTCGATTTTTTTTTCTTTGATGATGATCATCTTCATCATCATTATAATGATTGTTTGAAAATTCTTTTCATACCGTTTGACTTTGTGCAATAATTCTAATCAAGATTGATTAGAATTTAATTTTAATCATTCTGTGACCTTGTTTGTTGTTTGCTGTAGTGGTTGTTGATCTATTGTTTGGTTTTGGTTAAAATTAGAATTTAATCTGATAGATGATCAATATATTGTTTGATGACAAAAATTGAAATGATCATCATGATCATCATGATCATAATTAAAATAACGATAATGATGAAATGGATACATTGAAAAAATACATTGACATCAAGACAAAAAAAATGCTCGTTGTCAATGTTCAAATAAAATATTCAATGTCGTTGTACCTTCAGTGAAAGAGTCAAATTCAAGTTCATTCTCATCAATTCATACACACCTAGATAGAGAGAGAGAGAGAGAGAGAGAGAAGTGTGTATAACCTGAAAAAATCATCATCATCATGGTTTTCACCACCACTACTACTACTACCACTACAACTATTATACCTGTAATTTATTATTATTATTAATCATCGCTTTACACTCTCTACTCTCTCTCTCTCTCTCTCTCTCTCTGGGTAAAAATAAATTGTCGTTCTTCCTAGTTTGGATTCATATTCATCATCATCATCATCATCATCATCATAGATATTGATCAGGTTGATTAATGGCGGTATCCTTCTTCTTTCATTTGAAAACAATGCAACTAGTTGTTGTTGTTTTCGTTGTCTGGGCAGTATCCTATGATATTTTCATTCATAATTTAGTTTTCTGGTTGTCGAACAAACGCACACACACACATTTGCTAGGCTACCCGATTATCCATGAATTTTTTTTCTATTTTTTATTGCAGGTAGTGGAATAATTCAAAGTTAATTTATCAAGTTTTTTTTCTGTAGGAATCAGTTGGAGAAAAATGATTATAATTCACATATAGAAACTAGATCTAAATCCAGGTAATTTTTTTAGTTTTCTTCCATACAATCTTGTTTAGTTGGCAGCATGCAGGTGAATCCCAATATCAAATGACTCTCGATCTCTTTTTTTTCTCGGATTCATTCAACAATCTAACAAACCAGCCAAGTAAACCAACCAGTTAATCGACAATGATAACATCCGTGAACAAAAAAAAAAATAATCATCATGTCTGGTTGGTTTTCTGCTGCTGCTGATCATGATGATGGGTTGTTAGGGTTCTCGCTTCAGCAGCGGTATTAAAAAAAAAAACATTCTTGATGGCTTCTGGTTTCACATTGCAAAATTGCAAACAATCACAATGTTTAATGTGATGATGATGATAGCACAACCACCACCACTACAACAACAACAACAACAACGACGACGCCGGGCGCCATATATGCATCAATCGAACGAATGAAAGAGAGAGACAGAGGAAGATACATTTACGTACATTTTCATAGTACAGTTTTCAATTTTTTTTTCATTTTTTTTGAAGATCGGGTATTTGACTTTTTTTTTGTTGTTGTTTGGTTGTATTATTAGTGATAGTTTTCTCTCTTCCTCTATCACTAGATAGATTCATTCGTATAGAATGTGTTTCTGTGTGTGTGTGTGTGCAAATCGTTTGACTAGTTGATTGGTTAATAGTTAATAGTAACGTTGGTCGGTTTGGATCGTCGGTTGTTGTTCGGGTTTTAACGGGCTAACATTGGACAACCAAAGTCCATTCAGGTTTTAGCTATCAACGAGAGAATACACCATACATACATACATTATGTAATGGTTTTTGTTGTTGTTGTTGTTGTTTGAAATATTGTCCATCAAATAAATATTCTGTTCTGTTTCTTCTTCTTCTTCTTCTCTGTATTTTCGAATCAAAAAAAAAAGAAAAGAATTTATTCTTGTGATAATGAAATTCTTTTTCCATCTCACTTGCTTCCGGTTTGTGTTTGACACGTTTTTTTTTGTTATCAGTATTGATTGAATGGAATGAAATTCTTGGCTTCAAGTGACTAATTGATTTTTTTTTTTTTCTGTTTTTTGGTTCTTAGTTTTCAACATTATCGAATGGAAAACAAAATAAAAAAAAATTGCAAACTTGACAATGATGATTTCAACTTGATATATGAAAAAAAATCTAAATTTTTTTCCAGTGTTTTTTTGTGTGCGCGTGAAAAGAAAAATTTTGATCTTCTCAACAACAACAACAACAACAACAACAACACTTGTCAATGATTTTGATACAAAAAAATGACCATAAATAATCAATATTATTGACAAAGACGACGAAAGAAAATTTTTTTCAAAAAAAAAAAAAAAAAAAAATGGAAGATGGTAACACCACCAGTGTTTGGGATTTGAATCAAATATCGGAAAAAGATTTTGATCAACTTTCCATCTATAAAGTATCGGATCAAACCATCATCATCATCGTGTGATCCAAATGATGCTGATAATGATAATCAAGAATCATCAACAACAACAACAACAACGACAACAACAACAAAACAACAAATAAACGACAGCCGACATGTTTAACACGAGCTGAACAAAGTTTACCAAGAAATTTGATATTAAAACCATCGAAAACAATCAATGATGTATGTATATTGCTGAATGGTTTACTTTACTTTTCTTTTCTTTTCCTTGTGTTTTTTTTCTCTCTCATAATAATAATCATATATATATAATTTACAAACAAACAAACAAAAAATTGAATCAGACGATGTTTTTTTTTGTCTACTAAAAATGAGCAATGATTCGCAAAAAAAAAAAAAAAAAAATATCAACCGATCAATCGATTGATCGATTGATTGATTGACCAGACATCAAATCATAGAATCTAGGAAATTTTCGTTTTTTTTTGCGATTTATATATGTGATTTGTGTGTGTGTGTGGTGATTAGCTGCTGTTCATCATATCATAATTTCATATCTCTCGTGTCTCTATATATGTGTGTTTGTGTGTGTGTGTGTGTGCACAGACATTGAAACACAAATGTACCAAAAAATAAGCATGCAAGATAATTGTAACTACTTACTACTTAACCCATAATGAAAGTGAGACAATCGGTATTCGATATTTTTTTTTTTTTATTTTGACCAGATCCAGACATAATTCACAGACATCAAAAATCAATGTCGGCTGTAAAAAAAAACCTTAATAAACAAAATGAGTGAAAGAAAAAAAAATAAATAAATATTCATTCATAATCAATATATATATATATGAATGAATCATAAAATGATGAATATGCAAATTTGTTTCTTTGTAACGAAAAAAAATTTTTTTTGTTTAAATCTTTCATTCAGTGACATTCAGACAATATATTTGTGTGATGATGATAAAAAACAAAAACAAAAAAAAAACGATAAATTAAAAAAAAAAATGTGATACATAGTAACAAAATGAAAAAAAAAATTTGTCTTCCTTTCTCTCTCTCTCTCGTTCAACCCCCTTTCAGCCCCCGAACACACACATTGTTGATATTAAAATCAATATATATATATAATCAATTGATCGATCATTGATCAATAAGAGAGAAATAGAGAGATTGATGATCGGCATATTATTCATCAATAATACGTGTTAATGTTATTTCTGTCTGTTCATCATTCATTTTTCATTCAATTTTTTTTCTCTATGTCGTCATAATCATCAGTTTTATTATTATTATTATTGTTGTTGTTGTTGTTGTTGTCAACAGACGAAAAAAAACACGTTTTTTTCTGATTTATATTCAGACGACAATGTGTGTTGACATTTAAAAACTTTTTAATGATTTTTTTTTCATTGAATTTGCAAATTTTTTTTTTCGTTTTCGTTTTCTTTTTTGTTTATTCATTTGTCATCAAAAAAAAACATTTTTTAGTGTACAAAAAATTTTTTGAACAAAAATGGTGAGTCAAATTTTTTTTTCGTTTTTTTTTCTACACCAAATCTTGAGTGATTGACCAATAATTGTGTGTAATGAATCGATTTCAATGGGAAAAAAACAACAACAACCAGCAAAGACAACAATAATCAGTCAATAACACAATTTCTGTTTTTCAATCATTTCTCAATAATAAATCCAGTGCCAATATCGATCGATATCATTTATATTATATATATGGTAAATGAACCCTAGATTTGTTCATTTGTTTTTTTTGGCTTCAAATCATCATCAAGTATTAATCAAGAAAAAGATGCCCATCTCAAATCGTTTTGTTTGTTTGTTTGTTTGTTTCATTGACAGTGGCAATGACAGGAAAATAATATATTTTCAATGAATATAAGCATTAAAACACAAAAGCAACAAGTGTTATATGAATTGTGTGTGTGTGTGTGTGTGTGCGAAATAAAACTACTATACTAATATTGCCAAATTTTTATTATTATCAAATCATCATCATTATCGTGATAATGATGATGATGATTTTCAAAATCTGTATTTGTATGCTTTTTATTTCTATTATTCCCTTTCGTTACTGATTTGTTTGTGTTCATGTTTTTTTTTCGATAATCGCGCGTGTGTGTGTGTGTGTGTGTGTGTGTGTGTGTGTATGTCATCTATGTGTATTGAAATATCAATTTTTTTTCAATCATTTTTGATAATTGATTTGCGAAAGGCAATAGAAAAAAAAATAAACCAGATATATATTATATTATATTTGATGATTATGTATGACTTTTTTTCAATTTTTGTTTGTCTGTCAATCACAATTTTTGTTTTTTCTTTCTTTTCATTTTATAAATGAATGAATATTTTTATGAAATTTTTCATTTCCATTCACAACAACAACAACAACAACAACAGGTTCCAGGTGTTTGGAGTACCGATTATATTCCACGTGGTACACGTTTTGGACCACTTGTTGGTCAAATTTATGGCCGTGATCAAGTGCCAGAAAATGCATCAAGAAAATATTTTTGGAGAATTTATAATAAATTATCATCAATATCGACAACAACGAATACGACGATAATTGATGATAATGATATTAATGGAAATGTAAAAACAAATATAAATGGAACAATAGCAAATACAACTACATCGATAACATCAATATCATCTTCATCATTATTGTCATCAACGACGACGACGACGACGACGACGACGACGACAACAACAACAACAAATACCGCTGTTGGTAATGAAGATGTTTGTTGTCCAAAACTATCGCCACCACAATCGCCAATATCATCATCACCAAAAGGTGAACCATCATCAACATCATCTTCGGCAACAATTTCATCAAGTGGATGTACACAAAATGGTTCATCATCATTACAAATAAATTCCAATCATGAAACACTGCCAGCAAAATTACAACAAAAAAATGATAATCATAACGATGTTGATGGTGATAATAATGAATGTAAAGAATTCAGTGATGATTATTATTATATTGATGGTGCTGATCCTGATCAATCAAATTGGATGCGTTTCGTGAATCCAGCATATTCATCTATTGCACAGAATCTGGTTGCTTGTCAAGTTGAACAGGCAATATATTTCTATACAATAAGACCAATACCACCAGATCAAGAGCTATTAGTATGGTATTGTCGTGAATTTGCTCAACGATTAAATTATCCATTAACCGGAGAACAGATGATGTTACGTATACGTAAGTTTATGAACAACAAAAAAAAATTTCAAATTTACAAAATTTTTTTTCTTTCAATTTTACTGAAAAAAAACAGAACAACAAAATCCCATTGTAGATACAATAAAATTTGGTAAATCTCAAACATCTTTTGATGTTTATTTGATTCCGATGATGATAATGATGACAATAATGGAATGATTATCGATGAACAAGACCGTAATAATGATCGTATGGAATCTGAAAAAACGGTTGATGTTACAATGAAACAAAATCAAATTGAAAATGACGAAGAAGAAGAAGAAGACGAAGACGACGACCACATCGATGATGATGATGATGATGATTATGTATTGGATCTAAGTTCAACAATGAAACAACAATCATCGAATGAAAATTCAAGATCTCAGAATAATAATCAGGTATGATATTTATTTGTAGTTTTTTTTTGCAATTTTTTTTTACATTTTTAATTGATTATTTTTGGTGTACAGAGACGACAATCATTTATATCATCACCGATATCATCAACAAATCGAAATCATCATTATCATAATAATCAATTATCATCACAAGATTCAGCTATTGATTATTCAACAGCTGGATGTTCAACATCATCATCATCGATTCTAATGGCCAATAATGGTGGTCATCAAAGCAATATTAATAATAATCAACAGGCCAATAATTCAAGCAATAATAATAATAATAATAATAATGAATTTCGACGTGTAAAAATAAAAATGCCAAAAGCGATACAAAAACATCCATCATCGGATTCAACAACAACAGCAGCCACATCTAATAATGCAGCTAGTACAACAACAATATCATATGTTGATAATGTTAAACGACAAGATTATTCACCAAAATCATCGGCATCTGATTCAGGTATATCATCCGGTACACCATCACCAGCATCGATTATGCCTATCAATACAACAACGGCCGTAACAGGTATACAACAACAATTATCATCTGTAAATAGTCAATCATCATCAACAATTATTGCCAGTGCATTATCATCATCTCGTCATCATAATAATCATTTGGATCTGGTCAAAAATGCCTTAGTAGCATTAGCATCTAAACAGCAACGACAACAAAATGAAGTTGAACATAGAAGTGTGATAGTTGAAAATAGTCTTAATAATAATGATGATAATAAATCAATATTGATCGAAAAAAATGATCCAAAATCATCTGCAACAGCAAATATAATCGTTTCAAATGTATCGATAGTTCATTCATCATCACAAATGCCACCATCATCACAATCAATGGATGTAACATCGTCATCATCATCATTGGATGATCATTCTGATATGAAAACCGTGATGGAAAAATCAAGTATTCAACAGCAACAACAACAACAACAACAGGCAATCAATTCATCAAATACGACAGTAAATAATCAGAAAAATTATCCAACACATTATAAAAAACATTTTGGACAACGTTTCAATGCAGCTACTACGGCATCATCGAATTCTTTAGGAAAATTATCGATTATTTCTTCCAGTGAACAGAATCAATTATTAGCTAAATCTGTTGATGAACAACAACAACAACAACAACAACATTCTACTACATCGTCATTGTCAATCAATGGTCAATCATATGGAAATGATCAACAATCACCGAAATTGACAACAACAACGACAACAACATCAACATCGAATAATATACAAGCGGCTGCTGCTGCTGCAAATGCACGTAATTTTCTTTATGTTAATGGCATTACAACACCATTATTTTCGCCTGGACATTTTGATATGTACGCTTATGCTAAACATCATGCTATGACCACAACCACAACTGGTGGCAATTCTGTTAACGGAAATAATAACAATGGACCACATCATCCAGCTGTAGCTTCAGTTCCTCATTCTCATCATCATCATCATCATCATCATCATCAAACGTTTGCCGGTGGTCCATCATCAACACATCCACATCATTCACATCATCACTCTCATCATCCAGCACCAGCCGCACATCCACATCATCAACATGGATCGAATCATGCACATCATCCTCCTCCTCCACATCATATTGGTTCGACAATATCACATCCACAACAGCATCCAGATTTACCACCACCACCACCTTCTTCACATCATCTGGGTCGTACTGGTACTGGGCAAGATATACCGTTATCATTGTCTATTCATCATAGCCAGCAACAACATCATCCGCATCATCCGAATCATCATTCAACACATCAAGCACATCATCCTGCACATCAACAATTTCCACACCCAGCATATGCTACATCGGCATCACCGGCTTCATCTGCGGTTACTGGTGGTGGTGCTGCTGCTGCTTCTGCAACATCACCATCATCATCAACTGGTAATCGATTAAGGATTTCAGCTGAACTATCCGATCATTCTCACCATCATCATTACCTTCATCATCATCATCCAAATGCTCCTCCACCTTCATCATTATTGGTTGGGGGTGCAAGTGCCACTCAATATCATCATTCCAAATTATCATTGGGTGTCGAATATCCAAAACAACATTCAACACAATCACAGCCAAATGGTCCAATATCGACAACAACATCAATATCACATGGCCGATCAAATTTACATCCAGGATCGAGTGGTTCACATCCATCACAACCAGGTGTAGGTGCAGCTGCACCATCACTAACACTGGCGCCACATCGTGGAGCACAACAGAACAATAAATCTTATAATGCCAATGTCAGTGGTTCGTCACGATTAACCGTTCAACAATCTTCCGCTTCATCTTCAACAACAACATCACCGTCATCATCATCTACATTAGCAACTGGATCTGGAACAAATTCTGCCTTACGAATTCAGATTGATACGGCACATTGTCAGAATTTAGCTGAATTTCAAGCAAATTTTCACAATCAAAATTCTAACGAAAGTTCATTACATGATTCTGAACATCATATTGGCCATCATAATGGTGATATGATGATCTTATCACCAGGAGCAAATGGTGATAATTCGAATGGAGCAAGATCTGTGGATTCAAGTAATGGTGGATCACGTGGATATCGTTCATTACCATATCCATTGAAGAAAAAGGATGGAAAAATGCATTATGAATGTAATATTTGTTATAAAACATTTGGACAGCTATCAAATCTAAAAGTTCATCTGCGAACACATTCCGGTGAACGGCCATTTAAATGTAATGTTTGTTCGAAAAGTTTTACACAACTTGCACATTTGCAAAAACATCATCTTGTACATACGGGAGAAAAACCACATCAATGTGAAGTTTGTAAAAAACGTTTTAGTTCAACATCAAATCTGAAAACACATCTACGTTTACATTCCGGTCAGAAACCGTATGCATGTGATCTATGTCCTGCCAAGTTTACACAATTTGTACATCTTAAACTTCATAAACGTTTACATACTAATGAACGGCCGTATACATGTCAAACATGTGGAAAACGTTATATTAGTGCATCAGGTTTACGGACACATTGGAAAACGACCAATTGTCAACCGAATGCCGTACAAAGTGATATGATTGAAATGGAATTATCCAGAGCTGCTGCTGCAGCCGCTGTAGCTGCTTCAGTATCCGGTACAAATGGAACCAATGGTGATCTGATGAATGGTCGTTCTACAACCACCAATGGTACAAGACGTAATCGTAAACAATCAAATCTACGTCATCATCTTGGTTTGAATTCATTATCACATCTTCATCATCATCATCATCATAATGGTAAATTAACATCAAACAATGATAGTTGCGATGATGAATATGTTGATGTTATGGATGAAGATGATGATTGTATTGATGATGATGTCGATGATGATATTCATGTTGATCCAGCTATAATGGCAGCAGCTATGGTTGATGATGAAGATATGGATGATGATGACGTTGATGATGAAGAATCGGCTTTATTAATGGTGGATGAAGAAGATTGTGAAATTGATTGCGAAATGATGGTTGATGATGAACATGCACATCTTAACAATGTAACGACAACGACATCATCATCAACGACAACAATAAAAACATTGGCTAATTCAAATAATGAACATCGTCGTTCATCATCAATTCATCATCATCATAATAATAATAATAATAATAATAGCCATCAACAATCATCACGTAAATATCGTAAACAACAAATAGATAATAATAGTAATAGTACAAATCTCGTTGGTAATGAAAATCGACGATCACAGGATGGTGGTAATAATAAATTGACAACAATTCGACATCGACATGTAACCAATAATAATAATACAGTGGTATCAACAGTTGGTCAAGTAGGACAACGTATTGAAATGGTGGATAGAAATATTTCACAGCGAACAAATACAACAAATGTTGTTGTTGGACAAAAACAACAACAACGAAGATTACATCGCGGTGGTCTATCTGGTGGATCATTAGATGATTATGATGATGAAGAAGAAGAAGATGATGATGATGATGATGATGATGGCGATGATGTTGTTGAAGATGATGATGATGTTGTTGTTGGTGGTGCTGATTTTGCTGTTGTTGTTGAAAATGATGTAAACAATGTTGTCGATCAATTTCGTTTTCAATCCAATGAGAATAATAATGGTCAACAAACGAAATCAGTAATTTGTCATTCAATGAATAATAATGAATTGAATAATCAACAGCAAGAGAAGATGATTTCCAATCAAACAACAACAAATAAATCATCATCATCATCGATTGTAACATCACCTAAAAAAGCATTTGTATTGAAATATGAATCACGTGAGAATAAAAATGATGATGACCAACATGATGGTAGAAATGAAAAACTAATTGAATCTAAATCATCATCATCATCATCATTGACAAAAAATGGTGATATTCATACGGAAAAAGTATCAACATTATTACAGCAAAGAATTGTACAGATAGCACGTAATTCATCGCCATCATCATCGCATCAACAATTTTATAATAATCATCATATATCATCAACATGTCAAGGTTCGAATGGTAATCATAATCATAATAATAATGGTAGTAGTTCCAATTCATCAACAGAATCACAAAAATCACCACCATCATCATCATCAACATCAACATCAACAAAAGATCATGGATCACATTTGACACCAATCATGAATCATGCATAATCATTAAAATATAATCATCATCATCATCATCATCATCATTATTATATATAAATTATTCGGGATTACTCGGGTTTTCTTTTCTTCTTCAAATTGGTGTTTTATATTGGTTCTTTTTTTTCTTCTACACAAACAAAATGAAAAAAAAAAATTTACATTCCACATTAAACAAATATATAATAATATAATATAATAATAAATAAACAGAGAGACACAACAAGAAAAAAAAACACATTGAAATCACTGCCACATTGGTTTTTTTTTTATTCTTCTTAGCTTTGATCTAAAATCTGATTCAATTTTCCCGATTGAAAATGGATGAATGATTAACTATCGATCTATCTATCTATCTATCTATATAACGAATTTGAATCAATAGAATTGTGCGTGTTTGGTTTATATTTATTTTCCATTACTATTTAGGGTTATTTCCAATGGACATTATTTATTTATTGATTTTTTTTTACAATTATAATCACAAAACAAACAAACAAATGATTTTCATGCATAAATTTTATTTATTATTCCACAGCTATTACATTCCCAAGTCATCATCAATGATGATATGAGAATCGATTGATCCTGGAACACGATTCATATGATAATAATAATATTTCTTATTCTTCATGTCTTTTTTTTTCATTTGTCACCAATCATATATTTATCCATTCATTGATTCTATTTTTTTTTTTCATAACAAACCAAACTATGTTCTGCCCGACAACAACAACAACAACAACATCAAAATGAATATATTGTTAATATCACAAAGAATTTTATCCAAAGTTAATTTCCTTTATTATTATTCTGTTCGAAAAAAAAAATTGACCATATTAAAATATTTTGGAGAAAAAAAATATGAATTTTTGTTGTCGCTGTTGTTGATATTTTTTTTATTTCAAAATCAAATGCACACCTACCTGTGTGCTGCTCTCTGGTAATACAAACAATACAACACAAATCCAACACTTTCGGCCATCTAGTGGTGAGTAAATCTAAACATTTCTTTATTTTAGCCAAAAAACTATAGTTCCGCAGCGTGAGCACATGTTTTTTTCGTTTTGCAGCAGTATGTAACAAGATTTCGAATTTATCATTCAATCATTCAATCAATCAATCAATCAATTGAATTATATTGATAAATATTATAGTATTGCAATCATGCCACAGGGCGAATATTTGGATCATGATGATGATGGAAATGTTGGTATTGATGCACTCGATCGAATGACAATACTTTTTGTTAATGTTATTTTTGAACCAGGATCAATCGAAAATTGTACTCTACTTGTATTAGCTCTATTAGTTGCATATCGTGTTGTTTCAATGTTATTGGTAATTATTGAAAACATTTTCGGTATTACTTTCTATGATTTAATCTTTAATTATGTATTGTATAAAGTATTGAAATACTTTAATTTGTACTAATAATTACACAACACAACAAAATAAAACATGAAATGAAATGAAATAAAAAAAAATTCTCTTTTGATTCACATTGTTCACAGTTTTTTTTCCACTGACCACTAGATAATCAATGATTGATCGTTTTTAGATCAATAGTAATCATATAATGTGATAATGTTATCACGATTATCATCATCATTATCATTAGCAGTAGCAGCAGCAGCAGCAGCAATGATTTTGTGATGATGATCCATTACCGTATCATCAACATTAAAATTGCCGTGATTACAATTATCAATTGTATTGAATCCATCATTATTATCAAATAATTGTTGATGATGATTGGCCAAAAAAAGGTTTGTATCCAATTGATGATCGATTGTGGTATCGACGATCGTATTGTTGTTGTCGTTGTTGTTTAAATTCAATAATTGTTCATCATTATTATGATTATGAAGATTAAAATATTGTTGATCAATTGCATTGGATTCCATTTGTTGATCATTATTATAATAATTTTCCATCAACTCTGTGTTTTGTGTATCGACAATATTGGATAATTGATAATCAATCTGAACCATAGATTGTTGATCATCGACAATTGATTGTTCAATTTTTGACGATGTCGATGTCGATGTCGTTGATGATGGATCCACCAATGTGAAATGACTTGCAATATCCGAATAGATTACATTTAAATCATTCCAATTATCTGGTTGATTCAATGATGATGATGTTGGTTCCGCCGTTACCGTGGTAGATATTCCATCCGATTGATGATCAACAATTGGAATATCGACAACATTTTCATTGATAATATCTGACGCTGATAAATTCATTGTGGCATCATAATCAAACCAATTTAAATCCATTGTCGCTGTTGTTGCTGCCGCAGTTGATAACGATTGATTTAGATCATTTGACCAATAATTATATGGAGGTTGTTGTATACAATGGTGATATAATGTGGCATCCGTCGTTGTCATATCGATATTTATTGGCTGCTGTTGTCCATATTGCTGCTGTTGTTGTTGTTCAAATTGATCTATTGAAGGCGATTTTATTAAGGAAATTCATGCTAAAAGCTACACTTACCATATTGTAATTGTAATGTATAAACATTTTTTTCTACCTGTTCCATAATCATTTCATAATGATTAAAACGTTCATTATTATTGTTGCCACTGTTATCATATTTATCATTATCATCGTTATGATTAAATTTCATTGAATTCATCACACGTATTGATTGAATAATTTGACGAAGAATTTCAAAACCATTACGATAATTATGATAAATTGTTTCAAGCACAATATTTAGATCAACATCATTTTGCATGGATGTTGTTGTAGCCGTAGGATTATTATCGAATGACATTGTTGATATTGATGGTAATTGTGGTTGAATATAATTTGAATATTTTTGTTGCTGTTGTTGTTGCTCGATATTTGTTCCATTTATTGAAAGAAATACAGATTCATTCATATTATTCATCATCATCATCGTTGTTTTTTTTTCTTGAACGCTGTATTGATTTGTCTTTGTATGAAAACACTAAATTGAATGGATGACAAAAAAAAACAACAACAACAACAATAAAAATGAAATAAGTAAATTGATCGATCAATCGATCAAATATACTTACGCATGTGGCTTTGGTTGTTTCAACAAATGTTTGTCTACGTAAAATACGTACATTTTTTTTTGTTTTGTTTGTTTAATTGTTAATCTTTAAAATGAATGTCATTTCTCTATATGTTTATCGATCCATTATGAGGAAAATGAACAAAATCCATAGAGATAACTGTTAATTATTTTTTAAATATAGCATCTTCATCATCATCATCATCATCATCTGATGAAATTTTGATCATCTAAAATCGAATACCAAAATGGAATACGTCATTTCATTGTCATTTGTTTGTTTGAGGATTTTTGTTTTTGATAAATAAAAATAATGATGATGATCGCCAGAGGCTACTGTTTGACAAAACAATGCAACAACCATAGCCATCTAGCGGCAAATAAATGGCAATATTTCTACATTATTATTATTGTAACAAGGAGAAATCCTATTTTCACCACATTAGTACCCATTTTGATATAATAGGTCACATTGTTCCACGTGTTGTCCATCCATCCACAAAGCCTAAAGCACATGTTTTTTTTGTGTTCTATCGAATCATTTCAAATTTAAGAATCAATTAACAATCAATTTGGTATTTTTTCGAAAAAACCCCAAAAAAAAATAAACCAAATTTTTCAAAAATGGTCGAACCAGCTCACCAATGCCGTCAAATTTTATTCCATATCATCTGCTTTATTCTATTTCTGATGATCATTTGGTTCTTTCTCCAGTGGACAATCAACGAAAGTCACGAATTGGCCATAATAATAATTGATCCTGTTCAGTTGAATTAATAATTTTCTAAATTTATAAATTGTCAAAATTCTAAATTCAATGTAAAACTTTTTTTTTGCCACACAATGTAATAATAAATAAATTTTTCATTTCAAAATTTTCAAAATTTACTTTGTAATGTTATCATTGATTTTTAAAACGGAAATAGATTTACACAACAACCACAAATTCAATGTGTCAATCATATTTGAATATGAGAAAAAAAAGAAGTGGACAAATATTCAAACCTGTAAGAGTATTGTAAATTGTATTTTTTGTTGTTCTTGTTTTGTGTGTGTGTGTGTGTGTGTGTGTCTATCCAGGTAAATAGAAACCAGTTTTCTTGAATTTATTTTCCTCTTCTTCTTCTTCTTCTACTCCGTGATTACTCAATTTTTGTTTTGTTTTGATTATTGAATCAACCACAAAACAACAACAACAACAACAACAACAACAACGATAACTATCAATTGGTGATTTGTGACGTTTTTTTTCTACCATTCAAAATCATAATATCATATTTGATCAGTTATTATTATTATTTTTTTTTCTCAAAAAGGTTATGCCATGTCATTCTATCAAATACAACGTCATTGTGGTGGAAAATAAAAAAGAGAACAAAACAATGTATAAAAACATACAAGGCAAAGAAAAAGATTATTGATCCAAAATTTTGTCGTTATTGTTGCTGCTGCTGTTTGTTTGTTGTAACATTTCACCATTAGGTTTATGGTTAGAGCAATTACCATCGCCACCACCACCACCACCACCACCATCATTATCATCATCATCAGTGTTTTCCTCATCGAATCATCAATTGAAAAAGTGCAAATAATCATCTTTGGTTTTGTTGTTGTTTTTTTTTTGTTTTCATTTTCCTTTTATGAATTTTTTGGATGATTTTTGAACAATCTATATAAAAAACCTATTCAAATCAAGTTGTTTATGATCATTTGGATTTTTTGATTTTCACCAGTGTTGTTCATGTGAAAGATATTGATTTTTTTTTTTGGAAAAATCATCAAATAAAAATGGAAACATTAGAATGTTTTGGATTCATCATTACATGGTATATTGTGATTCGTATTTTGATTATTAGCTGGTTATGGCCATTATTGAAATATGTTTGGATAATTTATCTACAAAATTACAATGATCATAATCGAAAATATTTTCAACCATCATCGGATAAATGGGCCATAATAACCGGCGGTACTGATGGTATCGGTCTAGCTTATTGCCATCAATTGGCCGAAATTGGTTATCCATTATTCATTATAAGTAGATCATTGAAAAAACTTGAATCGATTGCACAACAATTACGTGAACAATATCCACAATGTCCAGAGATTCGTATATTTCAATTTGATTTCAACGATAATTTTGAATCAAATAATTATGATAACCTCGAAATGGCCATTGAACAATTGTCAAATATCGATATATTGGTGAATAATGTTGGAATTTCATATCGTACAGCAGAATTTTTTACTGATATAACACGTATTGAACCAAATTTTCATCGATCAATAATCAATGTTAATATTGTATCAGTATTACGTTTAACATTAATCTGTTTACCACGTATGATTGAACAACAAAATGGTATCATCATCAATATCAGGTTTGTTTTTATATTTGATTGATTATAATACATTCAACAATCATCGATTAATGATTAATCTATTTTTTTTCCAATTCAAAATGTCATACAATCAATCAATCAATATATGCATTCATATCATTAGTTCATTATCAGCAATTTGTCCTATGCCATTATTGTCTGCATATTCAGCAAGTAAAGCTTGTGTTGATTATTTTAGTCAATGTCTATGTTTGGAATTAAATGATCAATATCCGAAAATTTTCATACAAAGTATATTACCTGGTTTTGTTGCCACAAAAATGTCAAAAATGTCACCATCACGTACAGTACCATCGGCTGATAGTTATGTTCATTCGGCAATACTGTCTATTGGACATACGAATCGTACATTTGTTTTTATTTTACATTGTCTTCATTATAAACTTTATCAATTCTCCAATCATTGTTTTATCGATATTTATAGACGAATTGCTTATAAACAAATGCTTAAATTGCGGCAAAAATATTTACGTAAAGAAGCATTGGCTAAATGTAAAAGAATTCAATAATTTTGATGAATTTTTTTTAATCATTAACTTACCTATTGAATCAGGTGAATCAATTATTTGCACAATTTTTTTTTTGTTTTAATCAACACAAAATAAAATAAAATAAAATTTTGAACAGATGAACAAAAAAAAAAAATGAGAATGGAATTCACACGCGTACACACACTTGTTGTTGTTGTTGTTGTTTTGTTACATGTCATGGTGGTCAACGAATGAAAAAAAAACCGAAACCATTTGCATCATATTCACCAGAAAAAAAACAGAAGAAAAAAAAACACCACCAACAAAACGCCAACGGTTATGTAGATGTGTGTGTGTGTGTGTGTGTGTGTGGTATGTATGGTTTTGGTTTTGGTTTTGATGTTTTTTTTTTGGTTGCAATTTTAGACCCACTACGACCACGTATACATAACCAACAAGTATAATATATTTCAATGCCATTACTTTTGCAATACAGAACACATCTCATTTCATTTAATCATATTTTCTGTTTCATTGTGTTGAAACAAACAAACAAACACGGCGTTTTTTTTCATATAAAATTCCGATTTTTTTTTCTTCTTCTTCTCATTCCACACCATATTTTCTGGTATTCAACTTTCAATTTTCAATCCCAACAATCTCTTCATAATTCATTTTCTGATGAACACAAACACAAACATATACATACAGTGTTTAATGTCAAAAATCAACAACAACAGCAACGAAATATATATACAATTTTAAATGCCGACAATTGAATCAAATTCAGTGTAGATTGTGTGATTGATAATAATAGTAATACCAGATCATCATTGCCTTGACGATTCCATTTAATATATAATAATAATAATAATAATCCATTATTATTCAAATGTATGTTGGTTTTTTATTTGTAATGTGAACAAAATAGAACGCTGAATTTGATTGTTTTCACTGTTTTAGATTGAATTTTTTTTTCTCAGTTTGTTTGTTTGTTTGTTTTTTTTCTGCTATAGCTGATTCATCATCAACAAGTTTCATATCGATAATTTTTTCTCATATATCACCACGGACACACACACACACACACACACACACGCACACCAACGAATACATCGTAGTAGTCTAGATTTAAAATTTATAAACAAGTTAGGTTGAAGTGTTTTTTTAAATTTTGAAAAAAAATTCTTCCAAAAAAACTAAAAAAAAAAAATGGATGGTTCAAGTTTTCATATTATGGTTGAAAAAGCTTTTCAACAATCATCAGCCGAGATGGTAACAACATCATCACCTTTGGTATTGTGTCAACAACAACAACAACAACTGCAGCAACAACAACAATGGTGACCGCCACTAATGTTCCGGTATCAAATTTTCCTTATCCAGGTGATACATTTTCTGTTTTGGCTTTTTTCTTCATGTTTGGTGTCATCATCGGTATTGCTGTTGGTATTTTATCACGTTGTATGCAAACATCAATTAGTGGCCATCATTTTCCAAGTCCATTTATTCGTTCATCATCATGGTTTGATTACATTGATTTTTCCGTAAATAATAATAATAATCGTAATCGTAGAATTGTTCCAACAACAAATGAAGAAGAAATGATCGAATTTCCATTACAACGTGATCGTATCACACGACAGCAAACATTCATTTGTGGCCATTGTGGAAATACTATGAGGAATGTTCCACAACAGCAGCAACAACAACAACAACAACAACAACAACAAGAAACATATTTTGATGAGAATGAACAGCCACCACCTTATCATGATATTTGTTCAGATCGATCATCAAGCATTAATATGGATGATGTTTCTAACATGGATAGTGTTGTGGTCAATGTCGATGAACATGATTATGATCAACGATCATCAACTACCACTATTAATTTTGTCACTGCCAATAATGATTGAAAAACAAAAAAACATTTTGCATACACCATCATCATCCGATTCTGATGATTGGAATTTCTTCTTTTTTTTAACCCTTTTTGCACTTGGACATGGATAAAATTTTTTTTTAATTTTATTTTCTGTTGTAATTGACAACTTATTATTATTATTATCATCATTTTTTTAAATCAGAAAAATTATTTCATCTCAAATCAAACGCTAACGATAAGTTTTAGTCACATGAATTTTTTTTTGTCTTGTTTTGTTTTGTTTTTGCACATTCAATTGCAACCACCACGCACGCACGCATGCACGCATGCACTCACACACGAAAAAAAATAATTTAAAATCAAAATTTATTCTTTATTCATTAAATAAAAATCCAAATTAAATTGTTTTGAAAAAAAATTTTTGTAATGAAATTTTGAAATTTGATCATCGTCATTTATTATTTTGAAAAATTTCCGTTTTCAGGTAATTTAATGGAATGATTAATGAAAATAAAATTGATAATCAATGCAATCAAAATGATAATCAAAATGGAAATGGTCAATGTTCGAATACCACAAAATGATTGCCGTAATGAAATTCTTTCATCACGTATTCGTTGACGATGTTCAACCAATCGTTGTATACGTCGATTCTGTATGAGCAAACGGCGGTCATTATTACGTCGTGCGTGACGTGATGACATTTTTAAATGCATTTGATTATTACAATTATGTAATGCAGGCATGATTTGATCGAATATCCACACTATATGAATTGTCGATGAAATAATTGATTGATGGTATCGATTGATTAAAATTTAAATTTCAACAATGAAAATGAAACATAAAAAACTGATGATTATCAAACGGATGATGTTTTTGGGTTGAAATATGATTAAGATCGAAACAAAAACAAACTGAAAAAATTTCAATATCAGTTTTACCCGGTTTTTGTTGTTGTTGTTGTTGATTTTTTTTCTCTTTTTTGTCGATTCTCAACAAGCAACAGGCATACAGCTATATAGCTGCAACAATGAACATTTCACAACGTTTTCACGTTGTTCTGTACACCACTGATAATGGTGATACATTGCAATGTGTTTTTTATCCATTGCAACAGTAATGATGCATCGCCATTGTGAATTAACTGTATTATTAAGGGTTATTCATGATGAATGAACGAAAGGTACAAATTGGGATTCAAATTTCGCCATTTTTATATAACTTGTACATCTGAACAACAACAACAAGAAAAAATTGATGCACGTGAAACAGAACAGACAAGTTCATTATACCGCCATCGTCTGTGTGTGTGTGTATGTTTGTTTGCAACAAATGACCACACACATTCTATTTGAATTTTGTTGTTGTTGTTGTTTATTATGGTCGTTTGCAATTTCATATTTAAAAATCCAAAAAAAAAATTTCATCGATAAAATCCGTGCAAAAAAAAAATCTACAAATAAAACAATTTTTAAATTACCCGAAAAAAACCTTGAAACTAAAATTTAATTGTCAAAAAAAAAGAGGAACAAAAAGGATATTCCGAAGGATTTATGTTCATTCTGGAATCGGTGGTTTTAAACCACACACACAAATGGTCAGAAAAAAAATTTCAAACAAACAAAGAATTATTTAGCATTGTGATTAATTAGCTTTACGTATTCAACAACTTGTGAATTCAATAAAAAAAAAAATAACTAGACACAAAATGTTCTACATTTGGAAATGCTGGATTTTTTTTGTTTTGTTTTTGTTTCTTTGGATACTTTCGTTTGATTTATTTGTCTCGAGTTTTATGAACAAGAAAAAAAACTGGAAAAATTCTGTCCACACATCATTTATCACATAGTGTTAATGATTTATAAATCATCATCATTAGAAAAAAAAACCTTGACGATCAAAACTCTAAACTGAATTTTTTTTTTTTTTTGTCAAATCAGCAAAAAAAACAAACAAAAAATATTAAAATGTCAAAAAAATTTTGTCATTTCAAAACTGGAAAAAAATTCCCATTATACAATGAAGATGGCGCTACATTAAAAATCGTTGAATAGTTGTGTAATTTATTTTTCCACCACCAGATGGTTGGCCATTCGTAATTAATTTTTAGCAAAAACATTTGCTCATTGAGAAGTATTGAACAAGAAAAAAAAATGCACCGTCGTAGTATGTGTGTGTCTGTGTCTGTGAATCAGAGTGTTTCATCGACATTCATTTTGCTTGAAAAAAAAACGATTGTAAATTCGGTTTATTTTTTTGTCCATTGAGAGAATTTGTCGCCAATGTATATATAGTCGAAACAAGACAAGCGAAAAACTCTCTCTCTCTCTCTTCTCTCAGAGAAAAAATGATTCAAAATCTTGAAAATACCAACCAAACTAAAACACATATATATATTCTACAACGTGATAAGGTGATTGACATGATTGTGTTTCATAAAAGTGAATATCACACACACACACACACACACACACACATGTAAAACATGATATATTCTCACTTGTGAACAAAAAAAAACACGGTTTTCAACTGAGAAATATATAGAAAAAAAAACAAAAAAATTGAGGCCAAAGAATAAAAACAAAACAAAAAAAAAACCGGGCCAACACCCACACTACCGCCACTGTCGTTTTCTTTTCTACCAAACCAAGTAACCAGAAAACACACACAAAACTATATACAATAAAATACCGGCTATTCACTTGAATATATAAGAATCAAGAATCAAGAATAGAAAATTTTTTTTTTCTTCATATCTATAAATGTGTAAAGAATCTGTGTATTAAAAAAAAAAAAAAATTAATTTATTCAAATTGAAAAAAAAAATTAATGATGATGATGATTTGTGTATTGCACATATGGATCGAAATAGCCGTATAGTATAGTCCTTTTTATATTTTCAAAATATAATAAAAAGATATATACTTTGTGTGTTCAGAGTATCTACAGTATCTATCAATCTCTCTCTATATATATTGTCCGCGTCGTCGTTAAGTAGCACACAACACACATAGAAGATACACTCACAAATCTGTCTGTGTGTGTGTGTGTGTGTTGATACTCGAGGCTTGGCTATATTTTTTGTTGTGTAGTATTTGTGATTGTGTGTGTGTGTGTGTATTTTTTTCGCAATCAAATTGGATTCTTTCATTAAAAAAAAAATTCACATTTAAAATATTCTTGTGATTCTTTTGTGATAATGATTCTATGATGTGTATTGGTGTATTGGTGTGTGTATGTGTGTGTGTTTAAATCAACATTAGCATTTAAAAGTGTATGATTTATAAATATATCGATTTTATTTTAATGGAAATTTCTTTTTTTTCCCCAGATTCTTAGCTGATCATTCTGTTTTTTCGGATTAATTCTTTGGTTTCGATTAATTTTGCATTGTATTCTGTTCATTCAAAATGTGTACAATGTACAAAGTACGATCAATTAATTGTTTTTCTATTAAAAATCCTTTGAATTGAATTTTCTATTGAATGTGGAGGTGTATAATGAAAATGAACATCACAATACACCTTGATTGTTTGACCATCACAAGGTTAATGATAATTTATAAAATGGTGAAAATCATTGAAACCTTGAATTGAATTTTATTGTGCCATTTTTATACTGTCTCTGTGTGTGTGTGTGAGTGCTCGTTTATTGTTTGTTTATGTTTATTTCATATGTGAATGTTTCAAAAAAAAAAAAAAAAACATCAAATTGGAAGATTCCAAAAAAAAGTCATAAATATATAAAGTTTAACACCATCTTTTTCAATCGACAATTCATTTACAACAGCCACCAACACCGCCACCAACATCACCACAATCATTATCATCATCATCGAAAACGGATTCTAAATTTAGCCACCGAATTTTTTTTTCCATTCAAAAAGCACACAAAAAAATACACTTACTGTGCAGACTGTCTGTGTATTGTGTGTGTGTGTGTGTGAGGAAATTAAAATCATCATCATCATCATCATTATATGATTTTGGATAGAGAATAATCGGAATAATGATAAAAAGTAAAGAACAAAAAGAAAAAGAAAAACAAAAAAAAAATTCGTGTCTTCATCATCAACAATGAAATATTATGAACACACAGATTGAATAAATGTTACAGATTCACTTTGATTTGATGTTTTTTTTTCGAAAATCAAACGCAACAACAACATAATCATCATCATTTTTAGACAAACGCCCGCACACATAATTTTTCATTGTTTATATCCGGATAGAATTCATCATTGATGATGATTATTGATCAAATAAACACATAGACACATGCATACAAAATCAATTCAATATAAACAAACAAACTGGATTGATATAAAGGTATGAATATTCAAAAAAGAATTTATTCTTGAACAAAGAATTTATATCTATTTTTGCTTTTTCTCTTTTTTCTTTTTGGTTGTGTTTGCAGATCATCCAAATTCATTGTCGGTAGCGATGATGATGATGATGATGATGATGACGATGATATCATCATTTGCGTTCAACAACTTGATACATTATCATCCTACGCTTTTTAGAAAGCATTAGAAAAAAAAATTCTGGTCGATTTTATCTCCATCCATTCTTTTCATTTCATTTCATTTTTTTGGCTGCCATTTTTATTTTCATTATATGTATGTGTGGAGAATGTGGAGATTAGCAAATATTTAATCAAAAATTTGAATTTTTTTTTCGCTTGTTTGTTTGTTTGTTTGTCTGTAAGTCAATTTGAATTTTTGTATTTTGTTGTTGTTTGTTTCTAAATTTTTATTTTCATAGATTTCATCAATTTTGATCGACAACAATCAGATCATATTAATCAGATTGGTCAGATACACTGAATTTGAACCATCGATCATTAAAATATCGATTAAATTACGTTAATTAATTTAGCTATACTACAACGAAGAAGAAAGTTTTTTATTCACATTTTCCATAGTGATTTTTTTTTCAAATTTTCATTTCTTTAAAATTCACTCATCATCATTGTGTTCGTTTTGCAATAAAAAAAAATTTCTATATACGAATGTTCATTTTCATTTGGTGTATGATTCCCTGATTAGAGAGAGAGAGAGAGATAGAAAAAATGGCCAAAAAAAAGAGTAAGTTCACCATTGTTGATTGTTGATGTTGCAGTAGTTTTAATTTTTTCAAATTATTTTTTTTTCTAGGTGCAAAAAAGAAAAAACAGAATCGTAATAATAATAATAATAGCAACAACAAGAATAAATTGAATAATAATAATAGTAAAAATATAACACCATCACAATCATCATCATCATCCATATTGCAATTGCAAACAAATAATAATGATCATCATGATACAATGAATGAATATGATATCGGTGATGATATTTATTCATCACCAATATCGCCTTCATTACCACCGATACCGACACCGCCACCACCACCACCACCACCACCGCCGCCGCCGCATCATCATCATCATCATCATCGAATCAAAAACATTTTATTAATGGCACAATAATAAATGATAATAAATTCTGTTTAAATCATCATCGTAATTATGAACAAAATGTCAATGGTATCAATTTCAATGTTGATGGTGATCATCTTCAAAATTATAATGATAATAATAATCATGTTTTTAATACACCTGATAGTGAAGAAGATACTGTTTCATTTGAAATTGATGATAATGTAAATCAATTTAATGGTGGTGGTTGTTGCGATGGTGATGATGTTGGTGGCCCTAATAATAATAATTGTAATGACAATGATAATGTAATCAATTTGGATTGTGATGATGAACAACTTGAAAGACAAATTCTATCCAAAACGGCAAATGGAAAATATAAATTTTATTCAGAATCTCAATCATTGATACCAGAGCATCATCAATCATCATCAACATCAAAAACATCATCACATCATTCGATTTTTAATGATTATTCTGATGATTGTAATGATTTTTATACAATTTATGAAAATCATTCATTATATCCTGAACAACCACCACCACCAACTACAACAACAACAACAACAACAACAAAATCAAAACAACCCCAGCAACAACAAACGTCGAAAAAAATTCTTTATCATCCAATTCAATTGCAAAATTCAATGTTTTTTCCTGTTCTTGATACAAATGTCGACGATGATGATGATGATGATGATGAAGATGATGATGATGATGATAATGGCACTGGTGATGGTAATGGTGATACAGATTTAAAACATCCATTTACCTCTGACATGTATGATATGTTTTTTTTAGAACATGGAAATTGTATGTTTCAATATCTTCGACAACAAGAACAACAACAACAACAACAACAGCAGCATATTTCTTATGAAAAAAAACAAAATAAAAAATCTCCCATTAATTTACCAATATTACCACAAGCATTTCCACGTATTAAATTTGATCATCACTATCAACAACGACAACAACAGCATTTTGATTCTTATTACGATTATTATATTCCACGTTCAGAATCTGAAGATAATATTCTTTATCGTACATCACCAAAATTAAGGTAATAATTGTTTGTTTGATTTTTTGTTCTGAAAATTATTATCATATTCATTTTTTTTGTCACTATTTTCACAGATTCGAAGATATGCCGTCCTTTGAAAATCATCAAACACATTTACAACAAATACTACCACCACCACCGCCGCCACCACCACCACCGCCTCCTAGAAAATTATTTGAATTACAAAATCAACAACAACAACAACAACAACATACAATGAATCTTCCATTGCCGGCAACAACAACAACAACAACATTGCCAAATTCAAATAAAAAGAAGAATAAAAAGAAAAAGAATAAAAATAAGAATAAAATTCAACAACAACCACAGCAACAACAAATGAACTTTGATCGAAAAAATATTCTTCAAATTGATGATGATGATAATGACCAACAACTTCAACATTACATGTAAGTTTTCTGTTTTGTTTTACTTTCTCTCTAGTAGTTGATCAATCAAGATAAATGTGTGCTCTCGTTATTTATATTTATTTATCATAATTTAAAAATATAAAATTTGATCCATAACAAAAATTATCAACGAAATTCTTTTTTTTCATTTTTGCAAATCATTCAAATTATTCATTGTATTCAAAAAAAAATGTCGGAACATTTTTTTTTCTCATTAAAGTTTCCAGCAATTGATGATGGTGACATTTAATTGTCTATAATACACGAATCGTTGCCAGTAGGATAAAAAAAAAACTTTTTCCAATGTGAATACACACACACAAACACAAATGACACATGTATAACAACAGTAAAAAAAAACGTGTCAAACGATCTCTAGTTGATCATCATCATCATCATCATCATTTATGATCATTATTATCATAAATGATCCAGATCATGATCACGAATTATGTTTGTACCCAAAAATAGTCGATATTTTAGTATTTTCTCTAATTTTTTTTTGTTTGATTGATTAACGCACGTATATGCACGCAAACACGAATTTTTTTTTTCTTTTTGGAGAAAATTGAGTGATCTATTCTTTTTTGTTTCTACATTCTGGTTATTCGAAAATTCCAAAATGAAATTTCGTTTTTGTTTCTCTCCTTCACAAAATTAATGTCACGAATTCATTTTCATTACATCGAGAAAAAAAAATGATAATAATAAATGTACATTTGCCCTCGATTTCGAAATGTTTCCGTTTGCCAATCAATTTGCCAGTTTGTGTTTTATCCATTCATTCATTCGTTCCATTTTAAGAATGAAATGAATGAATAAATTTTCATTAAACCGGTTAAATTCGAATCGGAATTAACCTTGAATCGAACAATTATCATCATGTGCGTGCGCTATTGCTACTTTTTTTCCCGGGCTACTGAATCGATTATGATGATGATCGATATCATTTTTTTTCTGTCCAGAATTTTTTATTCTTTATTCTTCATACACATATATCATTGTTATGTTGATTTTGTGAATTTTAAGAAATTTTTTTCCAATTCCTTCATCAGTGAAACACAAGTAAACGAAAAAAAAATGAAAACCACAGATCTGATTAATTTTATGACCATGATGATGATGATTACGGTCATTATGAATATCATCATCATCATCATCATCATCAGCTTGAATTAATTTGCTTAAAGTCGGAAATTTATTTTTTTCATTTCCGATTCCAGGTAATGGTTATAATGAGGGTAGTTGTTTTTGGTTTTGAATCCTAACAAAAAAAAATTCAACCATATATCCTGAATTGTAATCACCACTGATGATTCTGGATTTCAATTTATTCAATTCTTTTGTTTGTTTTGTTTTTTATTTATGGAATATGAAAGGGTGATATTTTAATCCATGCGTGTATGAACATAATATATATATATCAATTGTGGTGACGTGATAAATAAATTATTCAACCAGCTGATTGCCATCATCATAATTATGGTCATGGTTTGTTGTTGTTGCTCAAATGAATCGATGGCTAAAAAATTAAAAAATGTCAAGGTTTCAAAAAAAAAAAAAAACAAAAACAAAACACTAAATAATCTAGTGTAGAGTTCAATCAATAGTATCGATTAGAAATGAAATTCTTGAGGAATGAGAGAGAATGAAAAATAACGAAGAAAAAAATTCCAATACATTATTTAGCTAATTTTATCTCCATAAAGAATGTGTGTGTGTGTGTGTGTGTGTGTGTGAGTGTGTGTGCTAATTCTGGTGGTCAATACCAATATGGTGATAATGACGACATTTACACTGCTGCTTTTGCAGCTGCTTTTATCTTCTGGATTAATGATAATTATGACGACAATAATAATAATAATAATAATGATGATAATGAAAGAGGCGTTCATCATTTTTTTTTTTTTGTTCCATATTCTCGCCTTTTTTTTTGATTCGTTTCCTCTACAGAATCCTTCTCATGTTTTATGTATCATCAATTTATAATGTTTTCAGGTCTCTTGTTTCGATTCTGTCGTCGTCGTCGTCATCGTCTTTGTTGTTGATGGCGATGATGGTGATGGTAGGCAAAGGCGTTTTTATGTATAATTTTTCATTTTGTTAATTTCACATTTCCACACAAAAAAATGTTTTAATAATTTTCATTGAAAAGAAAAATTGATTGGCGTCATTTCATTTCATTTCATTTCAAAAAAAAAATATAATATCACCCTTTTTTTCTTTGTCAACTTGCTTCATATGATAGAATAATAAATTGAAACCAAAAAAAAGGATCAAATGAATATCAGAATTTTTTTTTTCATTCATTTTGGTTGGTCACAAACCACACCCAATCATTTCATCATTGTCTATGTGTGTCATCATATATATATTTTCAATGTCAAATTCATTTGTTGGAATTTTATTTTTTTTTTTTTTTTTTGACCAACTTTTCTGTTGTCGTTGAATCGATTGAAATTTATTTGAAATTTTTGTTGTTGTTGTTGTTTGTGAAATAAAAAAAAAATATCGGTTTTTTTTCCTGTGCTTATTTTTGGTTCCTCTGGTGGTCGAGAGTTTAGTAGACCTAGAATTTTTTCCGTATATGTGTGTGTGTGTGTGGCTAAAAAAAATAATTTGAATATATAGCCGGTTTCGTTTTTCGTGATTTACATGTTTAATATTATTTCCTAGACTAGATTCAATGTTGAATGATCATGATATTCATGATATTCAATAGTTTGATTCAAAACATTTATGACGACAACGACAACTATTTAGATTTGGATTCATTCATTTTTTTTTTTTTGAGTACAATTGTTATCATTATCACAACCAATGAATGTAAACTAAACTACTACCACAATCCCAGTATGATACCACCCATGATGATGATTATAATAATAATGGTGATGATGATCAAGTGAAAACATGAAAAGTGACTTGAATTTTTTATTATGAATAACCATTTATTAGCTTGTTTCTGTGTTGTTCCATTTATATATATAAATATCACATTTCAACATTTTGCAATATGATTCTTATTTGGATTATATACAATAAATAAATGGGTTTCAGG